CAGTATCTCGCAAACGCTCTGAATAAAATGTTCAATAACTCATGGAAATGGTAGTACACTTGTTCCCGCAGGATAGAACTGTGAGTATGTAGACGTTCGTTTGGTTAAACTAAAAATGTTGTACCTCTACTGGAGAGAATGGGAGTCTTCAGCGGCATGTAGCTCGAGCGAATGCGAGAGCAAAGTGACGTAGAAGCCCCAATTCACACCTATTGTTCTACTGCGGATATCCTTATTTCTAAGTTTATAACGCAGAGAAACCCCGAGCATAGCCCTCTCCATAGCTCGCTGAGTGACCTTGAGCTTCCTTATACTCCCAGCAGTGAAGGACCACGTCTCGTTTCCATAAGTCATCACTGGTTGTACAGTCTCGTTTTTAAGTTTTCAGGTATACCTGACGAGAAGATGTGTCGTAACTTCCCGAACGCTGCCCAGCCGAGTTGAATCCGTCGATCGACCTCTCGGTCGAAGTTGGAGTGTGGTGCTGATATTGTTATTTTTATTGATTTTTAAAAACATTACATCTACCTTAGGATTTTCCCCTATATCGTAGGGGTAGTTTATATACATATATTCCACAAGAACAAGCATCTAGACCCGGAACAATTAATTGTAGGCTATACAAATACTTGTTCCGTGGGGGATTCGAAGCCACGGCCTTTAGCACTACAACTCATTGCTTAGCTACTAAATGCGTAATGGGTAGTGAAGCAGAGCAAGCATTTATGACAGCCAGCAGAAATAGAAGAAAAGGTGGCACAAAAAAGCCGGCAGAAATAGATGAAAGTGTCGCACAAGCTAAAGCGGAAATCTGTAGGCAGAAAAAGAGATCTAACTTCTAGGGATATATTGAGTTATTTGACTGCCTCGTTGCCCTTGATTGCTTCGTTTTTTCAGTAGTCGTAAGGTTCGAATCCCAGGTCGGGCCAAAAACTCAGTTATTTGATTTTTTTGTCTAGAATTTCTTAGCGGCATCTCGGGTTTCGGATTTTGGCCGGTGTTTCACCCCGTGTCTCAGAAAGCACGTAAAACGGCTGGTCTTGCGCTTGATCTCGGATCCTCGTGTTGGAATTCCCATCGATTACGAGAGTAAGATTTTCTGCATGTCTCGCTAGGGGTCGTCACTTCACCTTGTAAGGATCGGAGCCTAATCTTCAATTAACTATAGGTACTTGGCAGTCAATTGAGAATATTTCTTCCATGTATGTATGAAGTTTAACAAATGAAAATAAATAATAAAAGTGATATGTGTATTTGAATTTACAAAGTTATAATTTTTTTAATTGCACTATTTCGAATTATATTGCAATATATGTGGTGTCAATAAACGACGTGTTGTTCGTTCTAAGACTTTAATTAGACCATGCTTACTATCTACACTTAACACTAATATATATTGCCGTCTGGACTACACAACGATATTTTTATTACTATCCACTCGTTATGATGTTATTATACTCAACACCATCCATTTAAAAATAATTTGGATATAAATCATTGTTATGGACAACATACTCAATTAATAACAATCGATTATAATCAATCGAATCGAATCGATCATATTGTTTAATGTTAACCATGTGGTTTGACGGACAAATTCAATTTGTGGGTAACCTAGACATAGAAAACCATATTAATAGTTAATAAAAAAATTAAGGTACATTCAAAAGAAACTTTTCACTTTATTGCTTTTTTTTCACATCACCCTTATGTACCACTGCAATAAACAATAATTGATATTTATTACAATAATCACACAACTATAGTCTGGTGCTAATATGGTGTAGTTTCGTAATATAGTATAGCGTCGTATAGTGGCGATGTAAGATAATCCACTACCCCATATCGTACTGTACATGCCGTAAGAGGCGACAGAGGGAATTCGAAACAGAAAATGGGCAGCAACACCTTAAACTTTGCTCTAAATATCGTGTACAATACCATCATTACAGCCTGTCGATAGTCCACTCCTGAAAATAGGCTTTCTCATAAAACAGCATAGCAGGAAATTTGCCACAGTTGCCATGCTTGGTTAGCGGGATTATAACCAGTTATATTTAGTTTTGAGTTATTATAAGAAAGATGCTGTTACCCATCTCCTGTATCATTTCCCATAGTCACACCTTAAATCTTAAATCATAAGTGCGTACTATAAACACTTCACTTAAACTTTATTATAACTATTATTCAAATGTTAAGTATGATTTAGAAACTAAGTTTTTTATTATGAATGTAATTTTTTCAAAATCACATAGTTATTGGTATTGTAACGGGCGTGAAGTCTGTTGTTGTGTGTACAGTAACGGGCTTTCAAATAAATATTAGTTCTGAACTTATTACACCAACACATTTATTGTACAAAAATATATAGTCACACCAATAACTATATCGTCAGAAGGAGAATGCAACACTTACAAGAAGAAACAAGCTTATAGATTTAAAGAAAGGCGGAGAGAAGCTTAAGAAAAAATAGGTAACAGAATTTAGTACACACGTAAATATTTAAATACGAGTAGGTTACAAGGTTCCGTAAGCTTAAGCCACAATCTCTCTCCGTTGTAGTACGTAACCGACTGTTCAAGGTTCAAGGAGGCGGCGCGCTCACGCCGCCCGCCTGTAGCCGCTGCCACACGAGATTACCTTATATGTTAATGTATCGATGATACCACCGGGATCGAACCTATGAGCGTCGGCCAACTGGTAAGTATGGTGTTGTGTTAGTAGCGTAAAAAGTAGTTTTGTAAATGCGTGGGTGTGTGCAAATGTATGTTTGTGTTATATATTATGTGTGAGTTGCAAGTCCCCTACAGTATCGTAGAACAACCACCTTTTACAGTTACTTCCGTACTCTTATTATGTTGTTTATATTTGATGTTTTTTTTCTTTTCTGATGGTAATTCTGAAATAAAATAAAAATTAAATCATGATAAAATTAAAATCTTAATAAAAGAAAGCTATAGTGTGTTCTTCTTTGTCGCGCGAACTTCATAAAGAAAAATTAGGTTTAGCGGATTTTTGACGAGACTGATCTTAGTCACTAGCTTTCTGACTTTACACGAGTGTATTTTTCTTAATTTCAGCTTAATAGAAAATAATATTGGTTATCACGGAAATTTATCTTTGCATCTTCAAATCCATTTTTTTACATAGCTTATATCTGTGTTGTCTAGGGGATAACTGTTTTATACATTGTATTGTCACATGAGCGAGTTCATCAAATATGTTATTTATTATTCTATTTTATAGACATAACATAACATAACAGAAACACTCACGCCTGTCACCCAGAGGGGTAGGCATAGACTATGGACTTCCATTTTGCACGATCCTAACACACCTCTCTCGCTTCCTCCACATCCATATACCTACGCATACACGCTCGTCGGTTAAAGGTACTCTTGATTTGGCCCATTTTCAATATATCGCCAATTTGGTCGATAAACTTTCGCCTAGGGCGTCCCTTCCCGACTCTGCCGTTCACCTCTGCAACATAAATTTGCTTTGTCACTCTTTTCTCATTCATTCTTTCTACATGCCCAAATCACCGAAGTATCCCCTTCTTAATCCTGGTCACAACATCATCTTGCAAGCCACACTCTTCTCTTATCACACAACTTCTCACTCTGTCATTCAGATTCATCCCTAACTTAATGTATGGTAGTGAAAGTTGGGTGTCGCAGAAGAAGCACGAGAGTAGAATAAATGCTGTAGAAATGCGATCATTAAGGAGTATTTTATAGAATAAGTGACAAACGGGCACACAGTCTGCCTGGTAGTAAATAAATGATATGGCCTATGACCTACACCTATCCTCGATTAAGAATCAAAATGTTGCTACTCTTACGTTGTCAACCATGAGGATTGAGATAGAACGCCTCGCTACCAGTAAAAAGGGTCTCCAGTTCTCTATATTCACCAAACGAAACACAGCATTGTCCCGATATTTTACGCTGGTATTTTGTGAGAGCATGGTCCTTTCCCGGTCGTGTCGACCTATTCGTACTGCAGTCGTAATATAGCTACAGCATGGCAATTTAAAAATGCGTAGAACACTATTAATTTATATTGTATGTGCAAATCATTTATGTTATCAATCAGCCCTTCTTCTCCAGTGGCAACCGCAGTTTTTTACTTTTAGTCTCTTAATCAAAAATCGCGTTACTGACGAGGCGCTCTCCTAGCATGTATTGATATTGTTACGGCCTACAGCTGCTCCAGCAAGGGTCGAATCCTCTGGGGCCCATGAGCAGAAGGTTCCACGAGCAGCCGCAGGTCGGGCCCAAAATGACCACATGGAAGAATTTCCTATAACACTAAGCTATATGGGAGAATGCTAGAAACACATATTACGTACCAGTATCCGGAGCTAACTTCGCACCTAGGCTCGGTCAGGCCGTGTGTGGGTGTGAGGTGAATGGTAAGTAGTGTTCAGTGATGTGTAAATGTGTGAGACCTTGATCTCTTTAGGCGAACAGCAGCGGCCGAGTTCCAGGCTGCCCCAAAACGCTGCATCGCTCCAGCAGGCCTCACCGCTGGACCACTTCCTTCTACCTTGTCACTATTTCAGTCTATTAGCTTCCTTGTACATTTAACTAACTTAAACTAGCCTAATTCCACATTCATCGTAGAATCGAACACGTGATACCCGACACAGTAACGGACAGTAGTTCAAAGTTTAACATTAAATGTTCCGGATTCACTTATAAAAAGACATAAAATTATAATGATTTCCTGACGAGCAACGGGAGAAGCTGTCGAACAAGGAATGCGCGGTTCGAATCCTAGACCGTATATCTTCTCGACACGCGCGTGCACAATTCCGCATCCCCGAACAAGTTAAATATTGCAAAATTCACATATCCACGTAAGGAAGTAACACGCATTATATATATATATTGGCGAATTAACTTTTGTTCTACTATTTTATATAATAAATACTTTTATTTCAAATGAATTACATTTGTTATTTTTAATTGATAATTGTTATATACGGAAATATGTTACCTGTGCCATAATATTTCTATTGTCAAAATAACCACAGCTAATAAAGCTGCTTCTGCCAGTACGGCAAATGAAGGTGCTGCCTGCCCTAATGCTAAAGCACGCGGAGTGCGACCCGAACATTCAAAGGAGTAGCCACCCACTCGATCCCGCGAAGCCTTTATGTGTCCACGCTCTTGAAGACGCATTAGGCTGAAATTGAATTATATATTTTTTATTTAATAAAAATGATACTAGTTGCTCTAACAATGCTTCGGTTAATATAATATACGTTAGTCAAATGACGGATTTGAACTCATGAAATATTCTCAGCAAAAGTTTAATAGTGTAAATTATTTTATAACAAACGTTTAAAATATATATACTATTACATTAAGTACTATTATATGTTAAATATAATAATATTGATAATTATAAATAAGTATATAAAATATTTATTTTAATGTTTGTAAAACAGAATTAAAAAACGAATTGGATTTTTAGTTTAGTCTTACAACAGTCTGTGAGGCCATCTTAGTGGCAACACCTTCCTTGTTGGCCTTCTTTGTTTGAAGGTAGCTGCAGGTTTCCATAAACTGCAGTAGCCACTTACCATAAAACGTATTTTAAGTTTGTTTGTCACTTCAGTTTGATGAAAAAAAAATAGTTACAACCCAGAGTCAAGAGGCTTGTCGGTTATAAAAAGCTGGTAGGACTAAGCTTTACAGCTAAACTCACCGCAACTAAGTTGCTTGTTTGTCGGTCTTCCACAGATTGTACTTCGGAGTGTGTGCTTAAAAGTCTCATAAGCTCACACCGCCAACTCCATTTTACTATCACACACTTGATTGACATTCCGAACATCCGTCATAAGCGCTATAATATACCCTGCCAGTGTCTTCAAAGTGAATGTGAACAGGCTTCTCCTGGGCAAAATCGCTACATCGTAGACCTCATCTTTGCCCTCGGGCGACACGGAGGTTAAGAGTGACCTCATTTCTAGTATGAAAAACCTATTAGCAGCTATTTTTAAAAATTGTGACAACCCTAGTACTCAGAACCTTCATAAAATCTCTTAAATCTACTTTATACAAACCACTATTAACAATTTTTGATTTCAATATTTTACCAAGTGATGACGACGAAAAGTCTTAGAGATACTTTAACGATATTACTTTAATGTTTATGACATAAATAATAAAAATTGAATTATACTTAAAAAAATGTTCTGTATAATACTTATGCTCAGACTGTGAGAAATGCTAGAAAGATCTTTTGACTTCCGACAGATAGCGGTATGGCAGTCTTATTTACTCGTAGGCCTGGCATAAAATATCGAGACTGGCGGACAAGTAGGAGAATCCAAAATGTGTAAAAGACATTATTACGATCGACAATCAGCCTACAGAATGAGGCATATTCGAAAGAACAAATATGACTTACTTAGTGCCTATTTATACTAGTCGTTTTGTACAAATGAAGAAATCTAATTTAGCAATACAGAACAACACTATTCATTGATAGTGTTGTTAATTAGTAATTTTGTCTACGATAACTGACTAAAATCTTTTTGTAAACGTGTTGTAGTTGATATTGAACCTTGGAATTCATTACAAAAAACATTTAATATAATGAAAATAAAGGTGTCTGTAGAATGCACGGAAAGAAAAGGAGATTAAATGTGAATTCATACCTCCAAATAAAAAATTCTTTATATGGACTCTCTTTTTGGGCCATAATATAAACTGGAGCTGGTTGCATCATTTGCAACGAGCCCAACTTGCAAAGCTCGGTGTCATCAAAAGTCTTAGAAATGACTTGGTAGGCAGTATATGGTTCAGTGTGATAAGCGTAACCTGTAAGCAAATATACCTGGATACATAGCAATCTGTAATAAGTATTTAAAGTACAGGTTCTTAAATTTCACTATGATTCGTGTCTATTTTATTAGTTATAGATACACGCCATTACTTTAGGACTTAGAGGTGGAGATTTTTGCATTAATTTACAGTTGGCGCACAGAACTAAAAAGTCTCAACCAGCACCAAGATAGTGAGAAATATGGAGATTCCACACTATTAGAGAATACCATCATTTTTTAAATACATCTAAAGCTAAAATTAAAAAGTTTAAGTTATAGCCTAAATACTTCTCACTACTGGGCACAGGCCATTTCTCATTTCTGAGTGGGTTTTAGAGCGAGGAATTGTTCTCCGCGCTGCCCCAATGCGTGTTGGCGAACTTCACATGTCTTCGAAATATTTTTTTCTTATTTCTCAGACATACAGATGTCTTCAGGATGTTATCCTTCACCGCCAAGCACTTGGTAAATCAGCACTTAAAATTGCAAATAACAAAAATTAGTTTTATTCTGTTACGATCACTTTTTGTTCCCTAGCAATAATTTTAAATAAAAATTGGTAAATCCAATTGGGCATGCCTTAAGCACATTAAAAAAATTACGTATAACCTGATTATACGGAATTTTTTAAAGTAGTTTAAATATATTTCGACAGCACTATCGGCTTTAACACCCTCGAAAACCATGAAAATGACACCCATGATGAAAAAATTGGTACCTACTTCAGCCGCCATCTTGGATTTACATTTCGACAGCACTATCGGCTTCAACACCCTCGAACACCATGAAAATGACACTCATGATGAAAAAATTTATACCTATTGCAGCCGCCACCTTGTATTTACATTTCGACAGCACTATCGGCTTCAACACCCTCGAAAACCATGAAAATGTTACCCACGATGAAAAAATTGATACCTATTGCAGTCGCCACCTTGGATTTACATTTTGACAACCCTATCGGTTTCAAAACCCTCGAAAACCATGAAAATGTCACCCATGACAAAAAAATTTATACGACTTACTTTTAGTACATACAACTATTATTTATTCTGTGCTTTTAAAATATTGTAATAAAAAATCTCTCATTATTATTATAATCAAGTATTTAAGAAATTTGGTTATTCGAATATTATGTATTTGTAGAGCGATCTTTTTGAGCCGCTGCAAACAACCACTCACGACGGCGACTGACGCCGAACTGAGTGAGTGAGTAAAGTACTCTGTGGCTGTAGCTCAGAGTGTGGCTTCCGCCTATTTACAGAAATAATTTACATACAAGGCTACCAAATCAACGAAAATATCGCCATTTTGGAGCCGAAAATATTAATTATAGCTAAACAAAACAAAATTACACTGCCATTTTCATTCAGTGGCTTCCCACATGATAGATGTATAGATTAAAATAGATTGAGTTAAACAATTGATATTTTCAAAAGTTATCGTATTTACAAGCCTTGCGGACATTACAAATCCACACCATAAGCCACTAAAACCCCTTTCTTATTTAAAAATAGCAATTAATCGATCTAAAAAATATATTAATAAATTCAACAATCATTTATCTTTCTAACAATGTGCTTTTTATATCATTTATATGTATAATATGATTGCTAGATATACGATTTCATTCGATAAAACGTTGAAATCTTAATTTTTAGGCGATAGTAGAACATACCTTGCGCTTTCGCTTAAGGCATGCAATACTAACCACCAGTTCGCACCAGCTCTATTCCTGTATTCACTGACTGCAACAGGTCTACAGTACGCTTGGCATTGACAACTTTTTTGTCCCTGAGTTTATCTTCTTTAGGATTTTTAAATCCACTGTAGTAAAAGAACCCTGGATTCTAAAACAAAAAAAAGAAAATAACATTATTTATAAAAAATGAGAGCTAATATTAAAAGCGAGTAACATGAGTGAAGTAGCCATTAGTAAGGGAATGCAATACCTCATGTCACCCCGTGGGTGTCGTAAAATAAGAGGCGACAGAGGAAAATAAAACAGGATGTACACAGTATTATCCAGGTTATTCAAGATCATTAAAAAAACTGCGCTAGCCAATCCGACTCTCAAACGTAAAACTAGGCTAAATATCCCCACTATGAGGTAATCTATTGGGCGAGAAAATTTTAGTAGAGGACATTAGATAAGATGTAATGGATGAATGAATAAATAAAATAATAAATAACGTTTGATTTTTTTTTCTCAATAACAGTTTTTTGATGGTAAGTGACTACCACCGCCCATGAACAACTGCAACACCTGGGGAATTGCGGATGGGTTGCTGGCCTTTTAAAAAGGAGTAGGCTCTTTTCTTGAAGGTCCCTAAGTCGTATGGGTACGGAAAAATCGCTGGTGGTAGTCGATTTCACAAGGAAGTTGTGCGAGGAAGAAAACATTTTCTAAATCGCACAGTGGTGGACCGGCAATCATCCAGATCGTATGGATGGTATCGCAAGTTTCATCGCGATGTGCAGTGGTGAAATTGAGCGACTGGAGTTAGTCCGAACAATTCCTCAGAGCACTCTCCGTATTAGATATGATAAAATACACAAAGATATGAAACATCTCTTCGCAGCGCCAGTGAATCGAGCCGATCTGAAAGGACTCAGTCGTCGACGATTCGAGCAGCTCCGCGCTGGATGCGGTCAAGTGGAATGAGATGGCACTGTAGAGCCCCAACCCAGAGATGGGAACAGTATTCCATGTGAGGCCCAACCGCGCAGCTTGAAGTTGCAGTCTGTGTGCCGACATGAAATACTTTACCGCTCTGCTCAGCACGCCAAGTTTTTTATGGTTCAATTTGGCCTTCTCTTCCAGGTGACCACGAAACTGCACGTCACTCGATATGTTGACGCCGAGGATTCCGATACTGGCTGAAGCAACAAGGGGAGTGCCTTGAAACTAAGGATAGGAGAAAAGGGTTTTTTCAGCGGCAGAAGCGCAAACTTATGTCTTCTGAGGATTAAGACTCGACTTCCGACACAAGTTTTTTCCGGTACTCGGCGACGTTTTCCCGAAAAATATTAGAACGGTCGGTGTATAGCGCATCACCAGTGCTGTCATCCGCATAGCAGTTAATGTTACCGGTTCGCAACATATCGTTAATTTGCAGATGAAACAGCGTTGGTGATAGCATGCAGCCTTATGGAACACCAGCTTTAATAGGCTTGTAATCGGAGTTGATGGATCAGAGTGGTTACCTTCTTTATGGATCGGGTGCACGAAAGCTGTCTTCCATGAATTTGAGATAACGTCTAGGGAGTTAGAGTACCGGAAAAGACGAGTTAAAACCGGTGCCAACTCTGGAGCGCATGTCCTCAGCATTTTAGGGATTCCGTCAGGCCCACTCGATTTGTGTCCAGGGAGAGGAGTGCTTTGTGTACTGAGCACTGTGTGAATTGCACATCAGGCAAAGAGAACTCACACTTTGCGATCGTCGTCGGTGTGTTCCCCCCGTCATCGATTGTCAAGTTGGACGCTAAAAGGGAGCCTAAGTTAGGCGTCCGGTCCGTTGTAAATCCGGTCACCTGCACTAACCAAGCGAAACGCAGAAGCATAGCTTTTACTTTACGTTGGTATTCTGTGAGGTCGTGGCACCGCCCTGGTTCGGGCCGGCCCGTCCATGCTATGCAGCAAAAGCTGTAGCTTGACTCTACCACTGTTACTTTGAGCAAATTCGTTCAAACAATAAGAGAATAAATAACATTGTCACGAATCAATAACGCGTTTTATAAACTTTTACGTGGTAGAATGACACCAAGTCTAATTTCTGCAGCACGAATAGGACGGATAGACCGGGGAAGTCCCAGAAAAGTACCATATATAAGGTATACCATCTTTATATTTATGGGTAAGCGAAAAAAGTAGGTGAAAACGCATCTGCGTTTTGAATCGAAATCGAGGATATCTGCCAGTATCTATGGACCACGACATCCACCTACCATCAGGTAGTCTGTAAAGATTTTTATCAGCTTTTCTTCTATAAGTAAAAAAGCAACTTCTATATAAGCTCTTTGTAGCTTTATATCATAACATTTTGACTTACCTCAAGCCATCCCCTAGTGTATCCAATATCTTCAAAGACTAGTTCTAAATCGCTACTCATCAATGCATCCAAATTATGAAGAGTGGGAACAGCAGCATTCAAAAGCCAAGAAACCACACTGCTGGTGTAGTAGTTATAAAGTAGCATACTGGTTAATCCTACCACAAGGAGGATAACTCGCCGGCCTATATTTAAATGAACGTGTTAAAAAATGTTGTAGAAATTTAAAAAAAAATTAAAAGTTATAAAGATTCACGACCTTGACTTGAAAAAGTTGACTGTATTGCTTGAACTCCATCTTCATATTCTGAAACAAAAATGTCCACAATCAAATATTAATGTCCGTATTAGATTTGACCCGAAAATCACTAAAATTAAAATTATCATAAATAGTAAAATAATTAAAACAATCAGGCGTTACTTTTTCTTTATAGGATAAGGTGACAAACGAGCACACAGTTCATCTGATGGTAAGTGGTTGCTGTGGCCCATAGACATCTATATTTATCCTCGTTTGCGAATCAAAATGCAGATGCGTTGTCACCCGTGAGGACTAAGATGGAATGCCTCTTTACCAGTAAAAAGGGTCTCCGGTTCTCTACACTCACCATACGAAACACAGCAGTGTTAAGCTGCTATTTTACGCTGGTACTCTGTGAGAGCGTGGTCCTTCCTCGGTTGAGCCGACCCATTCATGCTACAACTATACTACTAATATAGCTGTATCATGGCTCTACCACGTATAAACTTTGTATTTACTTTGCAGAAATCCACTATATTAAAGATGTTAAAAACTAATTAGCTAAGACCGACGTAATAAAATAAAATTATGTGTTTTAACTAGTTTGAAGAGCACCTCTCGCCTCACCTCAATTGCGAGCACTATCCCCGTCAGCACATAGTGAGACACATCAAAATGTTTGATGACGCGGATCTTAACTAATAAAATTTAGACATCTTAACAAAGTAAAAGCAAAATTCAGCCCATGTCAATATTAGAATGTCTTTGTTCAGAACGGAAAAAGAAACTATAGTTAAATTATGAATCTCGTTCTTTTTTGGAAGCCGGGTAAAAATAACCAAATAAAAAATCGGAACAAGTATGTTGCATTGCTAATTATCGGGAATTACCTGTGAATGACGTCAACTAGCATCAAATCTGTTACAAAGATATAGGGCAAATTTGTCAAGTTAAACATTTTTAAACTACAAGTGAATATAAAATATAGAAACCGACAACGACCGACTGAGTCTCACTAGCGCTGCGAAGAGTTGTTGTATCTCTTTGCATATTCGTTCACATCTACCACGGGTAGTGCTAAGAGGAATTGTTCAAACTTATTCCAGCCGCTAAATTTCACCATCAAAATTTGACAAAACTCGCGATACCATCCATACAAGAGTCGTGGTAGCTCAGATGGTTAGCGCTCGCTTTAAATTTCACAGTACACGAACAACCCGGGTTCGGTCGCCGCCGGCACCAATGAAATTGTTAATTGCAATTTTAAATGCTGGTTTACCACGTGCTCGGCGATGAAGGAAAACATCGTGAGGAAACCTGCAAGTCTGAGAAATAAGAGAAAAAAAATTCGAAGACATGTGAAGTTCGACAACACGCATTGGGGCAGCGTGGTGGTCATTTTCTTGCCCGAAAAACCCTCTCAGGAATGAGGAAAGGCCTGTGCTCAGCAGTGGGACACGTATATAGGCTGTAACATTAACATTAACCATACATACCATCAATACCATCATCAAGTTTATCAGACAAGTTTTCTTTCTCGCACAATTTCCTTGTGGATACCGCTACCACCAGCGATTTTTGCGGACCCAGATTACAATGGGACCTTCATGAATAGAGTTTAGGTTTTTAAAAGGTCAGCAACATATATGCAATTCCCCTGGTGTTGCAGTTGTTCATGGTCGGCGGTAGTCACTTACCATCAGGTGAACCGCATGCTCGTTTACCGCTTATATAAAAAATAATAATTTTACATACCTTGTTGGCATGTTGTAGCAAAAACACTGAAGAAAGCGTAGGAATAAGGTTCTTGTCTTTTTTCTATTTTTGCAGCAATGGCTAGTATAACGATACATGCTATCCCGACTACGCACGAGCACCACCACACACTTGGAGACATTGGTGTCAGAAAACGATTTTCATAGTCTCCAACCCCTTTCTCAGGGATTAGATAGTAAAATTTAGTCCTGTTAGAAAAAAAATGTGGTTCTGAATTAAAATAAATTTAATAAGAAACAATTTTATAAATGAGAACACGTAACGTAATATATCAAGTAGTCTAACGGTTATAATTATATATGGTGAGGGCGTATGAGAATAAATAATATTTAAACTGTTTTTTTTAATAGAATAAGGGTGACAAACGAGCACGCACTCTACCTGATGGTAAGTGGATGCTGTGGCCCATAGATATCTCTATTTATCACAGATAGGTTGTCACTCCTAAGTACTGAGATGGATTGCCTCTTTCCCAATTAGGTCTCTGGTTCTCTACACTCACTATACGAATCACAGCAGCATTAAGCTGCTATTTTACGCTGGTATTCTGTGAGAGCGTGATCCTACCCCGGTCGAGCTGACCCATTCGTGCTGCAAACACAATATAGCTGCAGTATGACTCTAAAACCTAAAAATGTAATGTATGTACATAAACACATACATAACTTTGATAAGAATAACGATGATCATACTTTTAACACTAGAAACAAACATAAGCTTGTAATGCCAGATACTAGACTACATGGAATTAGTAAATAATTTATGGCGCAATGCATACGCTTCTGAAACAAAATACCGAAATCCACCCATATTCTGTAAAAGAAAAGAGATAATATGTTACTCACTCGAGTGTGGTTACTGCAGGAAAGAAAATATCCACCCAGTTAAGCCATTTTGGAAAAATCCTTGCACATGTACAAGATATATCTTGTTCGCCCCAATACAAGGAATTAGTCACAGCCTGACAAATTAAGAAAATAATAATATTTATTAGCCTTAAAATAACGTTTATTAATTAGTAGTTTTCCCGAAAAATATAAAATATAAAAAATGTTTACAAGTATTCTGAACACGGTGTTATTATTAACTATTATAATCAGTGTTCGACTGCTATCCCACTTGATGGCAGGTGGTGATGAAGTCGAATTTAATAAAAAATACAATGACTTAGCTAAGCAAAAACCTTTTTACTCTTACCTTGAAGCCATCACATTATAATTGGGTTGAAAGACATTCACTGACAAATTACTCGTTGATAATTACTGTAAATAAGCCATTTTACATTTATTTGCTAAGACATCACGTATATAGTATCTGTCTATCGCATTTCAGCGTACACTATAGGTTCATTTTATATTTTCAATCGCACCTTCAAACCAGTTAACTTAAATTTGTCTGTATATTATAATTATTTTTTAATTTTATAATTATTTTTTAAATCAACACGAGATTTTTTATTTTATAGAAAAAATTTGTTAAACGAACACACAATCTTTGTGATGGTAAATGGAGGCCCGTAGACCTACAGCTATTCTCGATTCATAATCAAAATATAAGACGAATGCCTCTATAGCAGTAAAAAGGTTATCCGTTTTCCGAAACTCACCAGAACAAACACAACAATATTTAGGCTGTTGTTTTACGCTGGTAGTCTGTGTGCGTGGTCCTATCACAGTCAAGCCGACGATGTTAATAAAAAGCTAGAGCATGGCTCTACCACGTAGAAATATAGTATTGATGTGTATCAATATTTTATTTACATATCATAATATTGTATAGTATTTATTCCAACAATAAAAAGGTAAAAATTAAAATTACCATACAGTATTAATCCCCGGGGATAGTGCCATGAACGCTGGCTGTTTCCCTACTGAATGGCTGTACAGCTTTTAGGTGAAAAGAACCAGCCTTTTAGCTAACAGCTGCAACGTCGAGCTGGATGGATATAGTCCCTTGAGATATTTCAGCGCGCGTGGACCCTACGACCCTATAACTTTTTTTTATAGGATAGGGTGACAAACGAGCACACAGTCCACCTGATGGTAAGTGGTTACTGTGACCCATAGACATCTACATCTATCATCAATAAAGACTCAAGATGCAGATGCGTGAGGACAAAGATGGAATGCCTCTTTGCCAGTAAAAAGGGTCCCCGGCTCTCTACACTCACCATATGAAACACAGCAACGTTAAGCTGCTATTTTACGCTGGTTTTCTGTGAGTGCGTGGTCCTTCCCCGGTCGAGGCGACCCATTCGTACTACAACTATACTACTAATATAGCTGCAGCATGGCTCAAAGGCACAAATGTATAATAATTCACTAAGTGACTTATGTTTCAGCCACCTAATGTTTAAATATACTGCTTGAAGCCGTTAATAACGATGTAATTAAATTAATACATTTATGATTTCAGTCATAAACTTATTTGTACTCTTATGTGTGTACAGAATAAAATATAAATTACCAGAGTAGTGTTCCTTTCAGGTGAACCAATCCAGCGTCCAACTATAGTATAGTTAAATCTGAAGAACAAAAACTAACATATAATATCTGTTGCGAAATATTTTGAGTGTTTATTTACATGCTACAGTTATATTATTATTTATATAAATATCCCACAATCATAATCATCATCATCATTACAGCCCTTCACAAGTCCACTGCTGAACATAGGCCTCCCCCAAGGAATGCCACAAAGCACGGTCCTGAGCCACCTGCATCCATCGACTTCCTGCATATCTTACCACGTCGTCACTCCATCTAGTGGGGTAAGGCCCTACACTTCGCCTGCCGGTACGAGGCTTTTCGGCGTGTCGGTTCTTCGAGCTATATGGCCGGCCCATTGCCACTTCAGCTTACTAATCAATTGGGCTATGTCGATCACTCTGGTTCTACTGCGGATATCGTCATTTCTAAGTTTATCACGCAGAGAAACCCCGAGCATAGCCCTCTCCAAAGCTAGCTGAGGGACTTTGAGCTTTCTCATCCGGCCAGCAGTGAAGGACCACGTCTTAGTTCCATATGTCATCACTGGCAGCACGCACTGGTTGTACAGACTCGTTTTCAAGTTTTGAGGTATACCTGACGAGAAGATGTGCCGTAATTTCCCGAACGCTGCCCAACCGAGTTGTATCTGTCGAACGTCCGGTGAATCTCTCGGTCGAAGTTGGACTTACCTAGTCGGACTATTTGTCCCAGGTAAATATACTCGTCAACAATTTCGAGCTTAGTGCTCCTAACAACTACCGGCATAGGTATATATCTCACAAATTTATAATAAATTCCAGCAGGAGAGGCTCATGCCGCAATGGACTGTTGCGTTCCGATGAATATCCCACAGATTGTTGTTGGGATTCAACTTTTCCAGTGCGTTAGTCCTGTGCTTACCAACAAGTCTGCCTAGCGCAATGTATTAATTATGGGAAAATTACTTGAAGAATACTTATATTAAGTTATATTTAATACACGAATAAGAAGTGCTCTTTAAATGAGAGGAGGCAAACGCGCATGCGGCTCGCCTGATGGTAAATGACTACCGATGAACAACTGCAACACCATGGGAAATGCAGGTGCGTTGCCGGTCTATTAAAAAGGCGTAAGCTCTTTTCTTGAAAGCCACAAAGAAAACGTTCGAGGAAGAATACTTCTGATAAATTACACAGTAAGTGCTAGTAAATAGGTTATGTTTAAAGTAAAAAAAATTACAACCTATATATGTCCCACTGCTGGACACAGGCCTCTTGTCTCTTGTCACTCTTTCCTCGTTCATTCTTTCTACATGACCAAACCACCGAAGCATTCCTTTCTTAATCCTTGTCACAACGTCATTTTACAAACCACACTTTTCTCTTATCACACTATTTCTCATTCTGTCATTCAGATTCAGCCCTTGTCATGACTTCGAAATACTTTTTTTCTTATTTCTCAGACATGCAGGTTTCTTCACGATGTTTTCCTTCACCGCCGAGCACGTGGTAAATCAGCACTTAAAATTTCAATTAACAATTTCATTGGTGCCAGCGGCGATCGTACCCGGGTTGCTCGCGTACTGTGAATTTACCACGAGCACTAACTATCTTAGCTACCATGGCTTTACCTCGACTCGCCTCTAATGAGGTTATGTATTGGTACCAAAATTTATTTTAATATTGAATGTGGAGATTATATTATTATATGTTTGAATATGGAATATTTTTTAAATTTGGTTTCTTGACAATCAGTCCGTTTTTTTAATAAAACTGAAGTGACAAACGGACATACAGTCCACCATCATCACCAGATCAATAGCTACTCTAGTCCATAGACATCTATAGAAAATTGTCATCTATGAGGACTAAGATGAACTACCTCACAGCCTCTTATTATACTGAATCTCTTTACCCTGTAGACTTGAAACACAGCTCTGGTATCTGGCGGCAGAAATATTTATGACCTACCCAAACAGACTTCTAGGCATAAAAGGATTCCTACCACCTAGTTACCACCTACTGCTATTATTTAGTAATTTGTTTACCTAAAATTATGTTGTTCCATTAGTACGGAGAGCAGCTGTGCGACTATTTTAGTCATAGCCGAGACACCTGCGGTGTAACCAGGGTCTGTCAGCATCTCCGGCTTGAATACTTTTGGACGCTCTAATATCTGTTGTCATATTTTTATTTTTATTTATTTATTTCACATACTTATTAAAACTTTTACAAGTATTATTATTAAAAAATAAACTATTATAAAATCCTTTCTTCATTACTCTCGTAATTTTTTTTACTATAATTTTTTTCTATAATGCCTTCTCCACTTTCACATACCTTGCTTGTTAACGAAGAAGGCCCTGGCGATCGAAAAGTGGATTATTTGTGATTTATCTGTTTCAAAATTCTGGAACCACAGAATAGTGATGGCAAGTATAAATAATTCGACTATGTCAGTTCACTAACCCAGCTGGCCAGCGCAGTAATTATGGGTATGTCTTCTAATTTATGCATGCCATTTATTGGCGCACTCTTGAAAGCGAAAAAAAGAAAATAAGCATTCATTATCATCATCACCATCATCATTACAGTACTTCACAAATCCACTGCAGATCATAGGCCCTCTTCAGGAAATGCTACAAAGTACGCTCTTGCCCCACATACACCCGTCGTATTTCTTACCAGGTTGAAACTTTAATCATAGCGCCGTCCCATACTCCGCTTAAAGGTACGAGGTTGTCGCCTTCCTTTTGCTTTCTTCCTCGTCGGTTGTCGATTCATCGAGATATATGGGCGCCCATTGCCAGTTCAGTTTACTAATCCGATACTATGGTTCTACCGTAAATATCATTTAAAGCATATAAAGTTTTCTAATTTTGTCTAGGATTGATTACCTAAACACTCACCACCGAAACTGCTCTTAAAGTTAAATTATTGAAATTCCATCGATCGTAATACTTGAACCTATTCAGCAACATCCGTATACCTGTAAAAGTAGAAATAGAAACTTTTGGAACGTAGTTCCTTATCAGACGGTACACATTTGGCGGATGTGGGCTAGGCGAGTGTAAAAGTGTAAGATTTTTCCGTCACGACCTATTCTAGACGGCCTTGGCGGCTATAAGCAAGAGAGATGAAATAATATCCATTTCCCTCGCACTTTTTATTTTACCATGAAAGAAGTATTATTTTATTTTAAACGACGCTATATTTTAATAGACGCTATTTATTATATTTTATTATTTGTATATGTTTATCAATAATAATATACTACAAAACGAACTTTTCCACCCGAGTGTTCCACGACACACACACATGTTTTTTTTATTTAATAAAGATTATAAATAATACTAATTGAAAGTCACTCTTAGGTTTAATTTACCACTACTTCGGAAAATACCTTTATCCTGGGAGGAACCAGGACAAAACCCCACGTGACTTTGAAAAAAATAACAGTTTACAATCACTAAATAAAAGTCAAGTATATTTTTTTATAATAATCACAAAAAGTAAACAATTTACCGTTTTGTTTATCCCATGTTCCCAAAAACATTTGTTCTAGATCGTTGCCTTGAATCCTTCCGTAGTTAAATATATCATTCAATTCGTAACTATCACCTAAAAGAGTGCAATGTTAATATTTTGAGAATTTTTTGGAAATTAACTAAGTGTCATATTAAATTATAATTATAATATGAAGATGCCGAAATGTGAAATCAAAAGATTTTGAATATTAATTTATAATATTTTTTGTGACGTAGTAAGAATTCATCCTAATATCGTCCCAAAGATGTAATATTTTTTTTAGAGAAAAGGGGGCAAACGAGCATACGACTCATCTAATGTCGACCGCCGCCCATGAACAACTGCCACACCAGGCGAATCGCAGTTGCGTTGGCAGCCTTTTAAAAATGAATAGGCTTTTTTCTTGAAGGTCCCTGAGTCGTATAAGTCCGAAAAAATCACTGAAAAGAAAGTTGTGCGAGGAAGAAAATATCTTATTAATTGCATAGTGGTGGACCGCCAATCATCCAGAAGGTATGGATGGTTTCGCGAGTTTCGTCGTGATGTGCGATGGTGAAACTGAGTGGCTGTATTTAATCCGAACTAATCCTCAGAGCACTCCCCGTGGTAGATGCTATAAAATACGCAAAGAGATGCATCGTCTCTTCTCGTGACGTGAAAGAGTGCCAGTGAGTCAAGCACATCAGGGGGATCTCGGTCGCCAAGGTCACTTCTCGGTTCGAACCGCTCTGCAATGGTTCGATTAAACAGAAGGAGCTGGCACTGGGAAGCCCTGGCCCAGAGATAAAAATAGTATTCCATGTGAGGCCTAACCCGCACCAAAGTTGCAGGCAGCGTGCCGGCATGAAATCCTGTCCCGTTCTGCTGAGCACACCCAGTTTTTTTAGATTTTTTTTACAAGTGACCACGAAACTGCACGATATTGACTGAGGCAACAAAGGAAGTGCTCTGAAACTGAGACGCGGAAACTTGTGTCTTCTGGAAATTAAACTGGACTAGATTTAGTCTCCCCCAATCCGAGATTTTTTCAACAAAGTATCGACTTCACACACAAGTTTGTTCCGGTACTCAGTGACGGCCGGTGTATGTGTATGTGTATGTGTATGTGTGTGTACTATGCGGAGGACATCACCAGTGATGTCCTCCGCATAGCAATTAATGTTATTGGTTTGCAACATATCATTGATATGCAAAAAAAAACAGCGTAGGTGATAGCACGCAGCGTAGTAGAACACCAGCGTTAATAGGCCTGTAATTGAAGCATGCGCGACTTTGATACTCCGATCTGAAAGAAAACTGGTGATCCAATTGCGCAATTTTTCGGGAATCCAATAGGAAGGAAGCTTCAAAAGAAGCACTTTGTGCCAAACCCGGTCGAAGTCCTTCGCTATTTCCAAATTAACCGCCAAGACCTCCGCTTTGGACTCTACTGCTTTCGCCCATTTATGAGCCAGGAAGACCAGACAATCACAAGTTTATAGACCCCGATGAAAACCGTATTGGCGGTCACTAATCACCAGGTGATTCTCAAGGTACCTCATGAGCTGCAGCTTATAATAGATTCTATTATTTTGGAGACAAGGAAGTGATGGCGATAGCCCACTAGCCAGACGGGTCTGAGCAGTCGCCTTTTTTAAAGATCGTTGGACCAAGCTGTCTCCTATGAATTTAGGACTACGCCTAGAGAGTAGTAGCACACGTCTCCAGCACAATAGTAGAGACTCCATTAGGTCCACTCGCCTTGGTGATTTCCAGGGAGAGGAGTGCTTTGCCCGTCGTAAGGGGCAACTTTGAAAAATTGCAGGATTATTTATTATATGTATAGTAGTAAAGGTGACAAATAAACACAAAGTTCACCTGATGGTGAGTGGATGCTATTGCCCATAGACATTTACACCTATCCTAGATTAAGAACCAAAATATAAATGCTCAATTCTCACCAGTGGGCAAAGATGGAATGCTCTGTTATCAGTAAACAGGGTCTCCGGTTTTTTGCACTATCCATTCGAAATACAACATCATTATGCTGTCATTTCACTCTCGTATTCTTTCAGAGCGTGGTCCATCCCTAGTCAAACCGGCCTATTGATCCATAATACAGCTGCATCGTGCCTACAACTTAAATCCTAAATCCAAAAAAATTGCAAAAATCAATACTCAAAGCCACAAATGTGGGAGTTAGTTTTGTTCCTCTCACCTCTATAATACGCCATTACAATATCTGAATTGATACTCAGATTCAGATGCATAAGAACTTTTTCTACTTGCAGGTTCTCGCTCGTATTGCCTTTCATGTTGTTAATTACCAACCATAAGTGCATAGCGTCAAATAAATTCTGTTTTGATGCCTAAATTGAGATAAACATATTTTTAACCGTATACTGAACTAAAAGAAATAATCATAATAATTGATTGACGTGGTAGAGGTTATATAATGGAGATTTTGATGATTTTCTCGTTAAATTGCGTCATCAGATCTCGACAAAACTATTATGTGATAACCCTTGAGGTGCTTTCTTTAAAAAATTCATAGAAGTAGTGCAAGGTTACAAACAAAAATCACACGAATGGAGAAACTGCTCTCTTTTTAAGGTCGTTTAAACGGTTTGAAATCTTTTTTTTAATAGAGAGTAGTATCAAAATAAATGTAAAAATATATATAAGTATCTAACCTTTGTTAGTATGTGCATTTTCTGCTTGCATGATGCACTTATAAGCACCCCAATAGGAATATTTGAGTGTTTTAAAGTTTGATCCAGGTCTTGAGCGTGATTTTCTACCATCATTACTGAAGTTCGTATTCCATGGGAAATGAATCGGTTAGCAATTATTTTATTATCTGTAAAAGTAACAAAATTAAATAACAGTTTCTTTTATCGATTTATACACTAAATGATGTTTATAGGAAATTGCTTATAAATCAATTATAATTCATAAATGAAATTACCTTTTTGACCGATTTCAAAAAGGATTAGGTACGTAAGTGGACTCTTCTTTTTCGTATATATATAAATTACGAAATATTTGCGTCAATTGTAAATCGATTTTTATTATTTTATTTAATATGTTATACCACGTTATATGAATATCCACTACCTCATATCATCCCGTGGGTGTCGTAAGAGGCGACAGAAGGAAACAAATCAGGACATGGGCAGCAGCGTCTTCCTACTAATGACTAAACATAAAAACATTGCAGCTGCCTATCCGCTTTTCACATGTGGCAACTATGGCAAATATTTCCTCTATGAGGCAATCTATAGGGGAGGCCTATGTTTAGCAGATGACTTCAAAATAAGCTGCAATAGTTAATCTATACTCAAAGATTTATTAAACGAGACAAAATCTCGAAACATAGCACCGTTGTCAACTGAGAAATATATTTTTATGAGTTTGAATGCACTTACAAAAAGTTAAATCTTTTCCACAACCAATTTTAGGCCCAATCAATTGCACCTTAAACTCGGACAAGTGGCATGAGCTGGATTAGCAAGAGCCAAACTCTTAAAAGTATTGTCTTGTTTTGAGAAAACCGCATCCAGTGTAAAGGCTGATACATAGATATATGCTGTGGAGGTTATTACTGATGCAAAATATGAATAAGGAGCTTTTAGACTATAATATAATGCAATGGTAATTAAGAAAATGTATTTTTTTTAATACGAGGGCAATTGAAAAATGTTCTTGAATATTGAGCTTGTGTTATCGTACTAAATTTAGACTACTATCAATAATATTGTCTCGGACAACATTTGAAATTAAATTCTCAGGGCATTATTTGAAAATAGCGGCTATATGCCGTTAGAAATTTCTTTGGACCTATCAAAACTACGTTATAGTGTCACTCAAAGCGATTTTGCTAATGGAAAAGATGGAGTATGGAACTTGTACTTGTATTGAAGTCCAATGTTTTTGTCAATTGTTAATCGATTGTTATGATTTTATTTATTATATTAAATATACTACTGGGGTACAGTTAACGTATACTGGCGGTGTAAAAATATCCATTACCATATATTATCCGGTGGGTGTCGTAAAAGGCGGCAGAGGGAAACAAATCAGGAGAAGAGCGGCAGCGTCTTCGTACTAAAAACTAAAAATTAAAAACTAAGATTGCCAACCCGCTTGCCAAGAATGGCAATATATGGGGGAGGACTATTTTCATCAGTGGACTTTAGTAGATTGCAACGGTACCTACTGGGTTGATTCCGTACAAATTTAAAGAATAATCCACACCTGAGGGTAGAAAATAGGGGATTAAGTTTTGATTTAACTATTGGGAAGAAATTGTAGTACATTAAGCTATTGCTTATATCACGTGAATGGGTCAAAATTGAGCTTTAATACAAAAAATAATTTCCACAAAATAGCTTCTGAAGTCGGGGTTTTAATTCTCCTATAGTATAATCTACTACTACTATATTAGTAATCTAATATAGTATGTTATATACTAATATAGTGTATACTCTATGTATATGTATGTTTTCAATTCTTACGTGGTAGAGCCATGCTGCAACTATATTAGTAGTATAGTTGTAGCACGAATGGGTCCGCTCGACCGGGGAAGGACCACGCTCTCACAGAAAACCAGCGTAAAATAGCAGCTTAACGCTGCTGTGTTTCGTATGGTGAGTGTAGAGAACCGGAGACCCTTTTTAATGGCAAAGACGCATTCCATCTTAGTCCTCACGGGTGACAACGCATCTGCATCTTGAGTCTTTATTGAGGATAGATGTAGATGTCTATGGGTCACAGTAACCACTTACCATCAGGTGGACTGTGTGCTCGTTTGTCACCCTATCCTATAAAAAAAATTCAGAAAATCTTCTGTGATAATTATTTAATTATATTGATGTGAAACAGCTATTGGCACGCTTTGGCAGTAAAACCGACTCGTATTGACGGCAAACGGCATGACGCTCTTTTATGTCGTCTAGCCTCCTCTACGCCACTATTCTCGTCTCCCTTGTGTGCGTGCGTGTATAATATAAACATAGTTGCTTCTTTGTGTGAATTGTTTACTGCGTGTGCCCTTCTATCCGGCTATAGTACACTTGTCGCGTGTACCGCTTGTACACACACTTCGTATTTATTGACTGGTTTTTATTAATTATAAATTCTACATTCAACTATGATGATTCACATGTGCCAGGCGTCTTGTGATGACCACCTTATAATTCATTGAAGTCGGGTTTTATTTTTTAATAAAATTTTAAATTTTGATATGAAGTTTACGTATGAATTATAAAATACGGAACTCAGAGATACGCATATAAGCCAGCTTCTAACCCCACTGGCTTCAGTGAAATTATTTATCAACAAAAGGATGAGTGTAGCCAAATAAAAAGGAAATGCAGGAATACATCTCGTTCGGAGAGTAAAGCTCTATGATAATTTCAGTACTTCCTAGTTGTAATAAAAACATTTAAAATTAAAACCTTGATTAAGAAGCAAACACTATTACAAATTAAAAGATAAATGTAGCCGGCATTATCTATAGTTTAAGGATGCTTAACATCCTATTTTCTTCTAGAATAAAAGTGACAAAGGAACTCACATTTCAGCTGACATAAGTGGTTACTGTGGCCCTTAGACATCTACACCCATCCTCAACCATGAATCAATATACTGATGCGACTCAGATGAAATGCCTTATTTACAGTAGTGTCTCTGATTCCCTACATTCACCATACGATTTGTACGTAGTAGAGCCATGCTGCCGCTATATTACTAGTATAGTTATAGCACGTTTTCAATTCAATTGTAAGATAATTAATTCAGCACGAGGAGAAACATCAACTTGATTATGTGAAGTGAGGTTTGAGCGTTATTGAATACTAATTACCTTATTCAAAGAGATAGTCATTCAATATCATAATAGACGTACGTGCGACAGGGTAATCACAACGATAGCCTTGACCAACATTAATAAATGACAGTTTGGCAAGCATGTTGCGAATGATACGGGTATATGTATAGGTATCACTTTATTTTTATATCTAGCTGTAAATTAAAAGCTGGTGTTAAAGAAGAACACCGAGAAGGATACAATATGTAAGTCCTTAATTTTTTTAATAGGAAAGAGGTGACAAATGAGCACACAATCCACCCGATGGTCAGTGGTTGCTGTGGTCCGTAGACATCTACATTTATCCTCACTTGCGAATCAAAATGCAGATACGTTGTCAGCCGTGAGGACTAAGATGGAATGCCTTTTTATTATTAACACGCTTTTATTGGGTTCGTATGTATCTATGTAACAAGCTTTATATGTATCTTTTATAATTATATATATATTCGGACCCCAAGATACAGGATTATCCTAGTTTGGGGTCCAATGGAAAATATTTGTTTATCTTGTCTTGAACATTGTTTAGATGTTTAACTCACTGTTCTTACATTTGTTAAATCTATATGTCAATAAGAACATTTAGTATTTTTATTGTTATCTTTTATAAAATAAATTTATTTTTTATGTTAATCATTATTTTCTTATTTTCGCTTATTGAAAATAATTTTCTACTTTTTTAATCGGTTATCTGCAAAAGCGTCTTTCCTTCATATATAACTAAACTTAAAAATCGGGTATCAATTAGCGAAGATTTATCTGGTCGTATTTAATGTTGTAACTAAATGTTTTCCGCAAGGCTGTCTAACATTGCGCTTGTCAATATGAGGTTGCCACGCGAAAAACTTTTCTTCTCAAACAGTATTGGGTTCTTGATATTATATGCCGGATTATGGCACTTCTGTCCACTCTTCCGCTGAGCTAAGTCAGTCATTATTTAAGGAATATACTGGAATTCTTGATATTTTGCGGATATTCTCCTTACAGATTTAATCAAGCAGAATAACTTCAAGCATAGCTCTCTTCATAGCTCATTGAGAAACTTGATCATCTGCAGCCAGTATTTAGATCAAGTTTGAATTAAATACTGAAATACTTCAATTCACTGGTTTTATTTTTAACTGGCAGCTGCCCCCCGCTCCGCCTGGATAGGATCTACTAACGTGGTGTTATTAAGGAAATCATGAAGTTTTTGGGATAAAATAGCCTGGCTCTCCTAGCGTTCCTCTCTATCTATTCGTAAAATTTCATCACAACAGATTTAGCCATTCCGAAGATTAGCCCGAACAAACAAACAGACAGACAAAATTAAAAATGGTTATTCATTTCTTAATGGCATTCAAATAACCGATCAGATCAATAAAATGAAATAATAAATCTTGATGTTACGGACAGACACTTCAAAATGTATCTCATACTTAAATTTCGCAGAAAGAGCATGAATTATTGAGATTGTATTAGTTGAAAATTTTCACAAACTATTGCATATGTACATATCCGATAGAGTCTTAATGCATCATCAAAGTATACGTGGTAGAGCCATGCTGCAGCTATATTAGTAGTATAGTTGTAGCACGAATGGGTCGGCTCGACCAGGGAAGGACCACGCTCTCACAGAATACCAGCGTAAAATAGCAGCTTAACACTGCTGTGTTTCGTATAGTGAGTGTACAGAACCGGCGAGCCTTTTTTCTCTATAAGAGGCATTCCATCTTAGTCCTCACGAGTGACAACGGATATGCATTTTGATTCGCAAACGAGGATAGATGTAGATGTCTATAGGCCACAGCAACCACTTACCATCAGGTGGACTGTGTGCTCGTTTGTCACTCGATCCTAAAAAAAAAAGTACTTAATGTTTTATGTAACATACCTGTTGGATTTTCACAGGACAAATAACAAAGATGTCGTACATCTCTATATCCAAAGTATGACACAGCAACGTTCACATCTGATGAAGAAAGTGGTGAAACGTCTTCTGTTTTTAATAAAAATAATAGCAACAACAGCATCTGAAACATGTTTCCAAGTATGTTTATCAAATTTTTGAAAATGATGTTTTATAAAAGCTTTATTAAAGCGATTTTTTTATTTAACGAGGTGACAAACGATTTGACAGTGCACCTGATATGTAGTGGCTACTACCTTAAAAAATGGGGATTCTGCGTTTTTACCACTGAGGGCTACGATGGAATGCATTATAGACCGTAACAGGCTTTCTATATCACGAAACACAGAAGAGCCCGCACTGCTCTTCCATGGCAAAAATAATAAGGATTTACATGGACGAACTCTTAGACAAAATATAATTCCATATAGCACAATATATTTCAGTTGGTTGTTATCGGGTTCATATCCCGTAAATATAATAATAAACAAAACATTTAGTGAGTGTTTGAATTTTAATTTTAAAACTAAGTTATAGTCGACAATTATATTAAAAGTTTCTACTGGATAAATCGCCAGACGGCATGCATTTCTCAGTTGCCTATACCGTCTCAAGCTAGCTAAGTTTTATGCGTTTTAGGTTTCGTAAGCATAAATCTGATCAACCGTCAGTTATTACTTTGTTCATTAGAACAGTCCACTTTGACCAGGTGAAGTTAAGATATGGGGAAAAACATTAATAAACAAAATAAAATTACTAAAAAATACTTGGTAAAATTTTTTGGTTAAAAGTTTTGACTAAGTATAGAAAGTAAAGTGTATAGAAAATTAAAGCCTTGACTTCAGAATATGAAACTATTTTATTCTTTTTACTTCTTTAAAATCGGCTTTTATTATTCATTAAAAGTTCATTTTTAACCTTTAAAGTGAACCAAGGACCATCACAAGCTTAATTTCATCTATATAGTTACATTGAAAACTAAATCTAAAAAAAAAATACTCTTCAAAATCGGTTCACAATTGACGAAGATATCGCGACACATACATACAAAACAACAAACCATAAAATACTATAGTAGATAGAACAAACAGTCGAATTGTAACAGCCTTATGCTCGTTTGCCCCCTCTCCTTAAAAATAATTTCCTTTATATATTAGTCGGCTGAAAATCAGCAAATATAAAGCTTGAAATTGAAAAGTATTAATGGCTTATAAATAAAAAAGCACAATAATATTACATTTAAAACCTTTGCTAATTTTACTAGCAACTGCGAGTGAATTACTTTAAAAAAATGAATATTTTGATCTGGGATAGTTTTTATAGTTCGACAGTAATTGACCATTCAGTGATTAAACGATTATACTCAATCACGTCGTTTTTACGTCAATCACACGAACTGAATCTGATTTGCAAAATGGGAAATGGTAAATGGGTAATCAATTTGAAATTGTGTACAAGCTTTGAATAGTTAAATTATCTCTAATTTTTAAAATTTATGACTAACCTAACCTACCAACGATAAATTCTTTCTATTGCAATAAAAAGAAAAGTCTTTATTGTGCAGAAATCATCAATACCTAATTGTTTTTCTACTTCATCGAGTTTATTATTTTGATAAAACTAGTTTTTACAGATTCTGTCGCGTATGTTAACTTGTTTTATATTCCTGACGTTTCGAGAATTTTACAGCACCCATGGTCACTCTGGTGAGTGTATACCCCCGTGACCATGGGTGCTGTAAAGTGTTGAATGAAATGAGTCAGTATACGCGACAGAATCCGTAAAAACTAGTTTTATCTACCAACTTCAAAAAGGAGGAGGTACTCAAGTCAACTGTATGTTTTTATGTGTGTTACCTCATAACTTTTTTCTGGGTGAACCGATTTCGATTATTATTTTTTTATTTGCAAGCTGGTGCTTCTCATGTAGCATCATATAAATTTGATCAAGATCTGACCAAAAACTTTAAGTTTATTTTGAATAATTTATATTTAAGTCGTTTGTACAATTTTTTTTTAATTTTAAATTATTTAAATGTGTAATTTTCGCGTAAGATATCATCATTATTTTAGTTCTAATTTTAAAGTACGACGATATGGATTTATGAAAAAAGTACAGACACTCATTCGCCTTTTTCGCAAGGGACCCTAAACTCTGTGAAAGGACCGTTACGTTCTTATGAAAATATTCTATTACTAAAAGATACAACGGAACAATTTGAAGGTATCTTTTCAAATTGTTTCTTTTCCAAGCCGCGGGCAAATGACAATTTGAATAAATTTTTATTAAGATGTACACGTTCAGTCCTATAGAATTTAACCTTCATTTTTGTTTCGCAGTTACATATTTTGTTCTTTCTAATTTTTAAGACTTTCAGTGAGATGATGGGTAGTTTTATGAAACGGCCCGATTTAAATGTCTTTAAGAAACAACATAAGGTAAATTAACAACCTTTATAAGTCCTACAGCACTTAGACTTCTGTTTTATCCATTAGGATTTTATCATCATCATTGATATATGTTTTATATCAATCATATACTAAAGTTATTGCTAAGGGATAGCGCAATTGTAAATTTTTTGAAAGTTTGTATATAATGTTAAAAATTCCACCGTAGTAAACTCTAGTATCGTATATCGAGAGCTTACTGCTAAAACTAGTTATCGGCATTTTTTTTCTAAAAATGAGTTTAAATTACACTTCGACTGAAATTGTTTTTCTGTTTGTTTGTATATCGATGCTGAAATTTCTATACAGTAGGGCTGTGATGGCCCTCTACCCCCAAACGGATTCCCACCTTATCATGGAGGGGGGGCTTAGAAGCCGAGGCTTGCGCGGTGAACAAAGGCACATGGTCTGGGCTGGTCCAAGGTGAAGAGCCGGCCCAAAGTGGATGCGGAGGCCGTGGGGCTGCGGGGGGAAAGGAATACCGGTATTACGAGACGTCGCTCTCCCTACCCTCCGCAGCCAAATCTTAGCTGGCGGTGGAATGATAGACCAGATCCACCGCTGGGGCCGGGAAAGCGGGTGCTTCCGAGTGTTCGTATTTTCCTGGCCCCATAGCCTCTGGGTTATGGAGCTAGGGGGGGGGGGGGGGGATCCAATGCGCAAGTGGACTTGAAGCTGCGGGGGAAGTCGCGCCTTGTGTTCCTTCCTTGCCATCGTTCATTACTGGCTGTACTACGATCAGCAATTACCGCATCAACCTGCTATGATCAGAGTTTCTGTGGGTCAAAGACTTCGTGGTGAGCTTATAGACGGCTGCTTTTCTGACCTAATGCATATTAATGCTGGAGTTCTTCAGGGGTCTATCCGACTCTTTTCCTGCTGCACATCAATTACCTACTTTTATCAGATATTGTTGGATATGAAGATGACAGCACAGTCACAAAGAAATTCATGTCCAGTTCAAAAGACGGAGGGGCAGTAATACGTTTGCTCAGAGAAGCCATGGTGGAGAGGATAAATGCGATCTTAAATCTCGTCTCCCAATGGAATGACGACCATCTAATTACTTTCCAACGACGCCAAAACACAGACCTACCTATTCTCCGTAAAATGGAGGCCAATTAATATGACTCCTACTTTCTAAGGTACATCTGTAGAAGTTACCAATCATCTCGAGCCTTTTGGTATACAGTTGAGTGCTAACCTTAACTTTGGCCCCAACATTGAGTCGAAAGCACAAGTTGCGGCCAAAAACCTGGGTATTTTAAACAAAGTGAAGCGATACTCCATGCCTGGACAGCTTATAACTTTATACAAAGCTCAAGTATGAACATGCATGGAGTATCGTAGTCACCTATGGGAAAAAGCTTATGGAAACTAAGCTTCACAGCTTAGTTCAACGTCGCCAAATTGCTTGTTTGTCGGTCTTCTACAGGTTGAAATTCGGAGAGTGTGGCCATGAGCTTCATAAGTTCATACCATCATCTCCATTCTCTTATCGTAATACCAGAAGTACTACAGGTAACCATCCATACTTGGTTGATATTCCGAATATTTGCAGTAAGCGCTTTAAGTCATCCTTGCCGGAGTCTGTTTTTCCGACTACATATAATCTTAATCTCTTCAAGATGACAGGCTTCTTATGGGTAAACTCACTCCATCGTAGACATCATCTTTGCCCTCGAGCCAGATGGAGGTCAAGAGTGAGCCTAGGTTAATAATAAAAAAAATTATTGATAAATCCAACTGTATATGCCTTAAGCGCATTGAAAAATTACGTTTATCATTATTATACGTTATTTTTAAAGTAGTTTAATTACACACACGTTTTTACTAAAAACCATATTATTACTATACCTTCAATTTCTCGATAATTTTATGTCAAATTACAATTAAAAAAAAAAGCTTGGAAAATCCAAACAATCCAAAAAAGCAATACAATCCTAATCATGAAAAAAATGTAAATTGTAGTTCTCTTCGTCAAAGAGTTCCAGTAGCCGTCAGCGAAGTACATATTCAAGTCACTCTATCAAGTCTGGAGGTAAGGCCTATGCATAACATAACAAAACGAGCCCAAGCTCGGACACCAAATTTTCCTCGTCGAGGAGTTCCAGTAGCAGTCATTAAAGTAGAAGTTCAGGTCACTCCGTCAAGTGCGGAGGTAAGATCTCATCATAACTAACAAAACGAGGCCAAACTCGCTACACCTAGTTCTACTCTTCGAGGTACAGTAGCATTCACCGAAGTTCACCTTCAGGTCACTCTATGAAGTCCGGAGGTAAGGACTCATCATAACTAACAAAACGAGGCGAAACTAGGCACATCTAAATCTATTCCTTGAGGAGTTCCAGTGGCTTTCACCGAAGTACACCTTCAGGTAATTCAATAAAGTCCGGAGGTAATGTTTCATCATAACTAACAAACGAGGCCAAACTCGGTACACTTAGTCCACTTAGTCCTTGTCTTCGAAGAGTTTCAGTAGCATTCACCGAAGTACACCTTATGGTCCCTCTATCAAGTCTGGAGATAAGGTCTCATCATATCTAACAAAACGATACCAAACTAGGCACATCTAGTTCTACTCTTCGAGGAGTTCCAGTAGCATTTACCAAAGTGCTCCTTCAGGTCATTCTATATAGTCAGGAGGTAATGTCTTTTTATTTATTTATTTATTTAT